CCCCTTTCTTCCTTCTCTAACTATTCCTGGACTGCAACTCCCAGCAGCCCTCTTGATCAATCTATCTACCTACCTATATCTAATCTATCTATCTGTAGGATTGCTGGGAGTTGCAGTCCAGGAACAGGAAATTGGAAATATGCAGGGATTGGGATGTTCTCAAAGAAATCCAAGGAGAAGAAAGCTTGGGAGTTTGGAAGCAGTGCATTTGGGTCATCCTCCTCTCCTAAATGGCCTAGTCTAGGGGATGCTGTGAGCTGTAGTCTGAAAGAGAGTGTGGATATGCTATTGTGTGTTTTGTTTGCCGGGGGAGCCATTTTTGCGCATACACTGTAGCATCTTTTTGCTTTTGGGGCTTTTTAAATCCCTTCTGCTGTGTTTTTCAGTGTTTTATGAGTGATGGGCACTTGTTGGCCTGATAGGTGTATTGTGTCCAAATTTCATGTCAATTCATCCAGTGGTTTTTGAATTATGTTAATCCCACAAACGAACATTACGTTTTTTATATAGATATGCAAATACTGTACAGGTATTTCAAAATCTGTTGAGGAAACCAAAATCCAAACACTTCTGGTCCCAAGCATTTCAGATAAGGGATACTCAACTGATACTGATTTTTGGTACACTGGAGAAGAAATTTGCTATTCTCTGACCGAAGAAATGTTGTTTTGGGAGACAGTTCCATATGCCCTAGAGCAGGGGCCCTCAAACCTTTTAAACAGAGGGCCAGTCACAGTCCTTCAAACTGATGGAGGGCCGGATTATAATTTGAAAAAAAAAATGAATTCCTATGAACACTGCACATATCTTATTTGTAGTGCAAAAAACACTTAAAAACAATACAATAATTAAAATGAAGAACAATTTTTAACAAATATAAACTTATTAGTATTTCAATGGGAAGTGTGGGCCTGCTTTTATTTTATTTATTTATTATTTGAACTTATATGCTGCCACTCCCCTGGGGCTCGGAGCGACTTACACAAAGGCTAAAATCTAACACAATTTAAAATCAGTTTAAAACAATTTTAAAACAATTTTAAAACAATCAGAGATCAAAGGCCTGTCGAAATAGATATGTCTTACATGCCCTGCGGAAAGCTGATAGATCCCGCAAGGCATGGACTTCATGTGGCAGACTATTCCAGAGTGATGGTGCCACTGCTGTAAAGGCTCTGCGTCTGGTTGCTGTTAGACGCAAGGTCTTGACACTGGGAATTTCCAATAGATCTTGGTCCTCAGAATGGAGAGATCTCGGGTTGGTAGGGGGTGAGGCGGTCCCTCAGGTACATCGGCCCCAGACCATGCAAGGCCTTAAAGGTGAGTACCATCACTTTGAAAGTGATCCGGTGCTCAATTGGTAACTAATGCAGCTGATGAGTTATTGTTTTTGGCTGATGAGATAGGATTGTTGTTATTGTGTGGCTTCAGGTCATTTCAGACTTTGGTTGATCCTGAGCAAGGGCCAGGGCCGTATCTGGCCCTCGGACCTTAGTTTGAGGACCCCTGCCCTAGAGACTTTTAATATATATGCCTCACTGGTATACCACTTAGCACCCAATGCAGTTGGAAGGTCTTGTGATAGGATTACAACAGTTCTTTATTATGAAGCATTTTTCAGTATTTAAAGCTATAGCAAGGAAAGATGAGGTTACCATCTTCCAGACTACAATGTACCCCAAATAGTGACACTGTCCTTTCAAGGCTAGCTATCCCACTCCAATGCGTATTGTACGTCTTGGAGGTAAGGAGGAAGTTCAGATAGATAAGCTTGCAGAATAATTTGTTTTTTGCTTGTTTCTGTGTGCGCATGCCTGCTGAACATAATCAATATAAGTTTAAAGCTCTATGAGACTGCTCCACCCCCACCCAAATCCTGGGGAAACTGTATAGCTTGCTAATCATGGAAACTGCAGGAGCACAATTTGGGAGTCCATCAAGCAAGGATCTCCATGCTTCAGTTCCTGGGTATACAATTGACCCCAGTCTTCTAGGTTACTTCCCAGAATCCTTGGTATCTTGTTTTCAAACAGGATATCAGAGTGTAAGATGATGCTAAATCCCAAGCATGTGTTCCCTTCCAATCCCTGAGGAAGTAAATATTTTACATTCTTGTGTGTAGCACACACAACAGAAGCTAATACAAGGCTTAAAATGACTGTTTAAACTGCTGGCGTGCGATCAATCCATGATGAAGGGATGAAAAGGATTGATTTTGCTACTACGATCAAACTTAAGCTGGCTGAAAAATATAGCTTTGGAGGCTGTGTGCAGGTTGCTTATTTGCTAAGCCAGAGGCCCAGCTGCAAGGAAATGTAAAGCCATCACCTTAAGACAGATAATTCTTTCTATCTGGGCAGCAAAAGGTACCCCCAACCTTCAAGGATCCAATCGCAGAGTCAACTGAAGGATCTGCAGAAACACTAGGGACCACTAGGGCATTTTTGACTCATTTTGCGATTTTGCCTTCTGATGGGGACAGGCGCTGTGTGATGGAGGAAATAGGGAGGGCATGCGGGGCGCTACAAGCAACCCCATGTGCCTTCCCTTTCACAGCACAAGAGTACATTCATATAGGGCTGTGTGAAGAGGCCCTAACTCTTCTGATGAAATGTGATAAATACATTACACAGCTACCTGTATTGTATACACAGTGTGCACAGAATGTAACACATTCGCAGCTTCTTGCACAGCTCTCACTCTGCATTAGTTTACCCAAGCTGGGAGGGAGAAAAGATGCTACAACCATGGCTTTCAAACTGCTTACTATTCAGAATAATGTCAGAACTACCCAGCTTTCAGTTTTCAATAATGGCCAGCAAAAAGTTTGCAAGACACTCACAAATAGAGTACGGCAGATGGAATGCATTTGCAGTATGTTGTGTTGGCAAACTGTAGAGGACTATTGATCCCATGGAGTGACTTTGTCAATTTATATGAAATTAAAAAGACCCCATGCCTCCATGCCCTGCATGCATTGCAATTAGATCTTAGAAATGTATACTAGAAAATACAAGTGAGGGCCCTTCAAGACAGGTCTACATCCCGTGAGAAACTGGGACATTTAAATCCCAGTTTCTCCCGGGATTTGGTCCCCTCACCTCCCCCAAATCCCACACTTTCCTTTGGGGGAAGGTGTCTACATGCTCTCATGGGTCAACCGGAGTTGTAGCCAGCCCCCCAACCCCTCGTCTTTCCCAAAAACCTACTGGGGGTGCCTGGCCGCATGTGCAGGCTCCTTGAAAACAGCAAAGCTGTAAACTTCCAATGGAAAGAGACTTCAATTGAGCAAATATTTTATATAATCCCTGCCTTGGTTACATTATATAAAACATAAAACCAAAATAGAAGTGTTAAAATTAAGTGCACAGAAGTCCTTCAATGCTGAGGTAATAAATTCTCCACTCTAAGAAAATCTTCAAACAAAACCATCTTGAGATCTTTACACTCTTAATTTGTGAATATATTTGTTTAAGCACAACCCTGCCAGGTCATATCAAAGATTGGGGATTCTGTTCCCACAGTGGCTCATCTTCAGAAACCATAATATTTGCCTCATGTACCCCAACAATTGGTAGTAGTAATGTTGTTGTTGTTGTTGTTGTTGTTGTTGTTGTTGTTGTCATTTCTGACCTATGGTAATTCTATCATGAAGTTTTCTTGGCAAGATTTGTTCTGAAGATGTTTGCCATTGCCTTCTTCTGAGTATAACTTGACCAAGCTCACCCCGCTGGGTTCATGGCCAAGAAGGAATAGAAACCTTGCTCTCCAGAGTCATAGGCCTCTTCTACACTGCCATATAATCCAGATTATCAAATCAGATAATCCACATTATCTGTTTTGAACTGGATTATATGAGTCTACACGGCCATATAATCCAGTGCAAAGCAGATCATCTGGATTTTATATGGCAGTGTAGAAGGGGCCATAGTTCAACACTCCAACGAGCCTATATCTCTCAGGCAAGTAGCTATGTACACATCATTACATTTCTGTAGTTTTGTGATACCTGAAGAATGCCTTTCTTTTCGCTACCCTGAATCTCCCAGTAGGTAGGCCCCATCTATACTGATAATTTAATGCGGTTTCAAACTAATATTGAAGAAAGTGGTTTTGTTGTGCTGATGATTACATAGGAAATTTTGGAACTGGTTTGAGGCACAGTGATGATTCCCCAAGCCACAAAGCACTGATTTGAGCATTAAAGGCTTTCTCTTATGCACTCTTGTGAGAGGCCCTATATCCCAGGATTTGATTCCAGATTATCTGCTTTGAATTGAGTTATGTGAGTCTCCACTGCCAGATAATCTGGGATAAACAGATAATCCAGAATGATAGGGGCAGCATGGAAAGGGCCAGACTTTGTCGTCTGGCACCACAATTTGGGGTTAGCTTCAAACTGCATTAAATGCTCAATGGTTCCCAACCTTTGGTCCTCCAGTTGTTTTGGACTTCAAGTCCCAGAAATCCCAGCCAGTTTACCAACTGTTAGGAATTGTGGCAGCTGAAGTCCAAAACACCTAGAGGACCAAAGATTGGGTACCACTGGTGCAGATAGAAGCATAGCTTCATTGCATGATCACAGCTGCCTACATTATAGTAGCGGAAGACATCCATCCACTTTCTCCAAACACATTAGCCATTTATGCACCAAAGAAAAGCCATCTAGTCCTACTTGATTTTAGCAGGGTTTTTTAAAAAAGAAAAACAGATTCATATTTTCTCTGATCATTATCTAAAAATATGCAGTAGAGGTTGTAGCAAGTTGATATATTAATCCTTGATTGGTGTCTTGAGATGGCCATTTTAATTTTAAATCTTTATTTTGCACAATGACAGTCCAATTATGCCTGTTCACAAGCTCCTAATCTCTCAATTGATGTGATTTAAATCTAAGGAGGTGTGCATAGGACAGGCATAAGTTAAGACCTATATGAATTATTTCCATTCAGGAACATCAGAAAGAAAGAAAAAAGCGAAGGAGAGCAAGAGAGATTTACCTGTCATACAGGAGAGGTGAATAATGCTGAGTGTAGTAAAAAGGATCCAAGTTGGCCTGGACATTTTGACCCCGAACATGAAGAGCAGAAGACCACAATGGGATAAAAGTCGATCAGCCTCTTGAGTAAAGAGTTACCACCACACAGATTTAGTTCTCATCTTCAATAGCACATAAAATGAAGAAGTGTGAAACCACACTCTTGCAAACAGGAAATTGAGCTCTTTGATGACTTTACTGTTTTATCTTTGTTTATTCATCCTTCTACACTTGGTTTCCTTTGCTTATTTCCAGATCAATTAGTTCACTTATAGTCTACAACCTAGCCTGAACATTTGTGGAAGAAAATGCCACCAAAATCACAATGAATGAAAGTGGGTTTAGATGCTAGATAGGATTTAACAGTGGGGGGATCCATTGCCTTTAAAGTAGAATTTGGAGGGGAAGCCATCAATGAATGTCAGATGCTATATTTCAGAATAAAGAAATGGTAACACTACTTCTGAGTAATTCCTTGCATAAGAAAACTGCATGAAATTTATGGAGTTGCCATAAGTTGACAAGCAAATTTAAGGTATATACACATACACACATACTGGCATGCATACATAAGGGGTAACTAAGGTCGTTTAGATCTGAATCATAGAAATGGCAGCCAATCATGGACCATAGCCTGGGGACAGGGTAGGTATCCTCCATCTCACTACCTCAGCAATAAAAGCAAGCACCCTTTAAGGACCTCATCACGAAGGCCCATGGATTCGCCATGCATCATGTCAAATCCATGGGCCCCCAGTGGGGGGTCGGGAGCATGGAAAACCCGTTGCTCCACACCTCGCATTGTGCAACTTGATTTTGCCCCTATCCCATAGGGAAAGCATCGTCTTCTGGCTTCCCCCATTGCTGGTAAGGCAACATGGCATACACCACTTACTCTCCCCTTTCTGGATGGAATCCAGTCAGAAATACATGTGAGTTGTGTAATGGTTTCCATCCTGGAAAGGGAAAACAAGCGGCATAGGATGGGCCAAGTAGCCTGTCTGATGAGGTTGTTAGAAGACAAGGCAAAGGCTGTGAAGTAAAATGCTGCCCACTCACCACTCTTACAGAGTCTTCTTGGAAGAACCTGTCTAAAATGGGGTTCTAAATATTTCTTTGAGCCAAAAGGTGTGATTCAGGGGCATTCTACCCACTGCTTCTCCCAACTATTTTTATGTTTTAACCCCAAAAAGACTCCCTCTTCTCATAAGAGTAGTCCAGAATTATTATTATTTTTTTGTCAGTGATGATGGAGTAAATCCAACCTTGATGGAACATGCCTTATGGTGCATTTCTAAAGGATATTGAATGTACAGACAGGGTACATTAGGGGGAGAAAAGTCTTTACAAATTGCTGGAGCCCACTGGCCAGGAAAGGAGCCCGGGGCCTATGCTGTATATATTTTTGTCTTTGGAGAAGAGTAGCCCCAAATCCCATATTTTTAATCTGCTGAGAATTTAAAGAATAGGATTTTGATAATCTGGATTATATGGCAGTGCAAAAGGGGCCTAGAATCCCTTCTACACTGTCCTATATCCCAGGATCTGACCCTATAGAATCTTCTTATTCCAAATTATCTGGCAGTGGAGACTCATATAATCCAGTTCAAAGCAGATAATCTGGGATCAGGTCCTGGTATATTGGCCCAAGGTGAGTAGTATGTGAAACAGGCCTATGTGAAACCCATCTCAGGTTTCCTGAAAGCCAGGTCTCTTGCACGGTTTCTGTGACTTTCCTCCTACTAGTCCATTCCCTTCCCACCAAGTAGCATCCAGATCAAAATACACCTCTCCCTATCTGAAATGTGCAATTCTACATCAGCCTTACATTTGTCACTTCTGACAAAATATATCCTTTGTAGGCATTTTCTAGGTCCTCCAGCATGACTCAACTGTATTCTTGAGCCAGAATCCTTCATTTCAGTAGGATTGGCTATTGTCTGTAGATTTGCATATCCATGCAAAGTCTGGGAATGTATGCCCCACAGATTTGGGGGCTGTGCTGTACCTATTATTTTGTAGGCCTGTGATTTCACCCCATTGCCTAATTTATGTTGCTTCCATTAGCCACTTAAGCCCTTAGCCAATCCCTTCTGTCCACAGTTTCCACCTCATGTTACCATCAGCATATATCACAATGCCCTCCTAACTTTCACAAGTCATATTTTTATTTCTCAGAATTGCTAATATATTCCACTGTGGATAGTTATTTGAAAATAAAATAAAATTTATTTCATTAGTCAGACAAGTTTCATTAATACTGGAAACTCATGACTTGGCATTTGGCAGCCAAGACAGAATTCAACAGCTGTTGTTGGGAAATGTGTATTTTAACAGTAGGATGCCAAGTACTGGGTGTTAGCTTGTATAATTAGCTTAAATAATGAAAGGTCATCCCATTCTAGACCATAGCTCCCATTAGACATGACCAGAGGTCATTTTGAACAAGCCTTATGACAACTGAAGGCCAAAACATCCAGAGTGCACCTTCCTCTGAGACTATATGAAGAACAAACTGTTGGCATCAAACAAGAATCTACACTTTATACAAGCATAGATTCTTCTTTGGCACCCACAGCTTGTTCTTTGTATGTCTCCGTCAGATGAAAGTGCACTCTGGATGTTTGGCCTTCAGTACAGCTTGAGCATAATTTATCCAAAATTACAAAATCCAATATAGGTACTCCAAAATCCAAAACTTTCCACCTGGGTAGCTGAGATGGTGACACCTTTGCTTTCCGATGATTGAACGTACATAAACTTTGTTTCATGCACAAAAGTATTTAAAATATTGTGTATTGCATTACATTTAGGTTGTGTGTACACAAACCAAAAAAAATCATAGAGTTGGAAGAGACCACATGGGCCATCCAGCCTGACCCCTGCCATGAAAGAAAAGCATAATCTGTTGTGGTTCAGCAACAGCATGATGGGACTGAGAGTGCAGATGAGCATGATGGAAATGGGAATATAGATGCAGGTGTGGGATTTCAGTTTTCTCAGTTTTCTCAGTCACAGTCTGTAGCTGGAGAGAAACCCTGGTTCTCAAGGGAACGGAATGTGGCTGATAACACACTCGGTGAAGGTCATAGTGAGCCGCAGGTGTTAAGGAGGCGAAGCTTACGGATTGCGGCCAAATCTTGAGGCTGGTGGGAAAACTGCTCGTTAGCTGTTCTGTTTAATGTTCATGTTTTGATGTTTTACCTATAAATGAGCTTCTTGGAAGCTGGCTCAGTGTCAGTTCCAACTTCGCAATATGGATCGCTGTGCCTTCGGCTCCAAGACCCGGACCTTGGGTGCCTGCTTCTTGTAACCTCATGCTATTTCCTGGATTGTATCCTGTATCTTTGCCTCAAGTTTCTTGCTTTGATTCAAGAGAACTCATTGAACCTTTACTTTATACTTATTGAACTTTTTACTGTTTTTACTTGGATTTGTTTGAAGCCTCAATAAACTACTTTCTTCTCAAGTTTGGCTGGTTTGTCAGAGAGCAAGGTGAATCTTAACCTGAGACGCAACAGTTTGGAACTGACCCCCAACAAAGTCCTTGCTCCCAGCCACCATGAATCCTGCAGATGCCCAGGCGATGGAACAACGGCTGCAGGACCTTCAGCAGCAGATAACCACGATGCAAGCGCAAAGGGCACCTAACCCTCCGGCCCAGCCACTAAGGACTCCTATGGCATTGCCCAACAAGTTTTCTGGAGACAGTCAACGGGTCAAGGATTTCTTGGGACAGTGTGATGCCTATCTCACAGTGCGGGAAGCGGAGTTTCCAAATGAGGCAGCCAAGGTTGGCTTTGCCTACAGTTTGTTGGAGGGCCCGGCTCTCTCCTGGGCCACCGCGCTACGTGAGGCCGCTTCCCCTGTGTGCAACACTGTCAAGGCTTTTATGGATAACTGCACAAAGTCTGGGGAGGCCAAGTGCACCGGGAGATGGCGGATCGTAAGCTGCGCGCCCTAACGCAAAGAGAGGGGTGTTTGGCCCAATACATTTCGGAGTTTCGTGTATTGCAGCGGGAGCTGGCTTGGAACGATGCCGCCTACATGAGCGCTTTCAAGGCGGGGCTCACCCAGGAGATGCAGTTGGAGGTGGCCCGTTCCGCTGTCCCGGCCAACTTGGAAGAATTAATGACCCTATGCATCCAGATAGATGGAACCATGGCCAATCAACGTCACATCATTGCTGGCCCTCGGCCAGTGGGCCGAAAGGGGACCGATGTGGGAGTGCCACGTCGCTTGGGTCCGCCGCCCCCTCCTGCACCCGATACAGAGGAACCCATGCAGCTGGGCTCCATGCGCCCCAAAATTGATGCGGCGGAAAAGGCGCGTCGGCAACGGCTAAACCTGTGTTGGTATTGTGGGGGCAGCGGACATTTCTCTCGGGAGTGCCCTGTCAAGAAGAAGACAAGCCCCCGCTTGGCGGGGGTCTCCGGCTCAGTGGAGCCCGTGGCGCCCCAGGCTCAGATCTTCGGTGAACAACGGGCCGAACAGCCGGCGGGGGAAGGCAACGACCGGGTTTAGCTGGGCTCGCAAACTCGGTCCCCACCCCGTTTCCGGAGCCCGCCACTGGGATGTTGTTTTTTCTCTTGGTTTTGTTTTGTGTGGCCCAAAAGACTCCCACGGCGGTGCACGCGCTGGTCGACTGTG